CATATCAATACGTTGCCCTTGAAAACATCCTTGTCCTCAAGGATGTGTAGCACCAGTGAAACTGGGAAAACAGTGATCAAAATCAACCTAATCAAGCCAAGTAGCCTCTTCTGGCAGCTCATTAACCCAATGCACCAAAACTTGAGTCACAGCACGATGGTGTCGCTTGACCACATGCCTATTCAGGAGAGCAAAAGGCACCTAAGGACCTTTTAATAATGAAACATGAAAGGTAGGATGAACCTTGGCAGTAAGGGGTAATGCTAGAGTATAAGCAACATCACCCACACGACAGTCAACACGAAAAGGACTATAGTAACGTGGTGACAATTTCTTCAAAGTACGACTAGCCATTGAACTCTGCCGATACTGAGGTAACTCGAGAAATACCTAATCACCAATTGCAAACTGTCGCTCAGAATGGTTCTTATCAGCATATTATTTGATGCGATTAATTGCAGTAGAAAGATGAGCTTGGAGGCGAATCATCAGCTATTCACGAGTAGAGAAGGAACGATTAATGAACTCCATAACAGATTCATGAGGCAAATAAGGAAGTTGCAGAGAAGGAGGTTGACCGTACATGACCTCAAATGGAGTAACACTTGTAGATGTATGAAAGGCGGTGCTGTACCACCACTCAGCTATTGGTAACCATTGCACCCAGTCTATAGGTTGTTGCCATGAGAAGCAACGAAGGTAGTGTTTCGAGCATCTATTCAACACTTTGCTTTGACCATCGCTTTGAGGGTGGTAAGCAGTCGAGAGAAGTTGCTCAATACCCAAACGAAGGAGAAATTCCTTCCAAAACTAGCTTGTAAACAGGGGATCGCGGTTGCTAATGATATTAGCAGGGGCTCCATGAAGTTTGTAAACATTATCAAGAAAAATCTGAGCTAATGAAGCAGTGGTAAATGGGTGAGCAAGAGGGATGAAGTGAGCGTACTTGCTCAAGCGATCAACTATTGCCCAAATCGTGTCCTTTCCCTCTGACTTAGGCAGGCGTTCAATGAAATCCATAGCTATGCTTTGCCATACACCTTGAGGTATAGGCAAGGGTTGTAATAAGCTCGGATAGGCAACATTTTCATATTTACAGCGAAGACAAGTATCACAGTGGTGCATAAATTGTTTAATATCAAACATTATTCCTTTCCAATAAAATAAAGAACGCACACGTTGAAAGGTGGCTTGAGTTCCTGAGTGGCCACCTTATGGGCTGCTATGTAGCCATTGTATGATAGAAGATTTCAGATCAGATTGAGTTGGTCCAATAACCAAGCATTGATTGCGAAGCAACAACCCATTAGACCATGTATACTTAGAATGAGATGTTGGGGAAATTTGTAGGTCTGATATAATGGTCTATAGAGTAGGATCTGATTGCCATTGATCTTTTATACATTCCCACAGTTCAGTAGACATAGTCGACACTGATAAATGAAGTAACTCCCCATGAGAAGCTTGTGAGAGAGTATCTGTTGCTCCATTGTCTTTACCTTGACGGTATTTGATCTCATATTGAAGTCCCATGAATTTAGTAATCCATGTATATTGAGATGGAGTTGATAAGCGTTGCTCCAGTAAAAACTTCAAGCTTTGCTATTATGTCAAAATAAGAAATGGTTGAACACTGAGATATTGATGCCACTTAACTCATAGCATGTACAATTGCTAGCAACTCCTTGTCATAAATTGATAAAAGCTGGTTCTTTGGGGAAAGCACCTTACTCACAAAAGTAACAGGATAATTGTCCTGTGTTAGTATAGCACCAATGCTCGTGCTCGAAGCATCTGTCTCAACAGTGAACTGTTTGCGTAAATCTGGTAAAACCAATACAGGGGCATGAACCAAAGCGTACTTCAGGGCTTGGAAGGCATTTTCAGCTTCAACTGTCTACTGAAAATCATCCTTCCAAAACAATTTTGTAAAAGGACGCACTAATACTCCATATGATCGTATAAAGCATCGATAGTACCCAGAAAGACTTAAAAAACCACATAATTCTTTCATTGATATAGGTGTGGGCCAATCATTGACAGCAATCAATTTAGTGGAGTTAGCTGCAACTCTACCACTAAAGATAACATGTCCCAAATACTCAATTTGGGTGGTAGCAAATGCACACTTGGACTGCTTCACATAAAATTGGTGCTTCTGTAGAATGGAAAACACATAATATAAATGTTGGACGTGGGATTCCATATCTGGGCTATAAACCAAGATGTCATCGAAAAAAACAAGAACATACTTCCGTAAAAGACCCTCAAAAATCATATTCATAATGGACTGAAAAGTTGAGGGAGCATTCGTTAACCCGAATGGTATAACAAGATATTCATAATGTCCAGCATGTGTTTGGAAAGCAGTTTTATAAATATCTTCTTCTTTCATACGAATCTAATGATACCCATAACAGGTCCAATTTTGAAAAAATTTAGCCTGCCCCAATTCATCCAATAAATCCTCAATCAAGGGAATAAGAAAGCAATCTCAAACAGTAACATTATTTAAAGCCCTATAATCAACACACATGTGCCAACTCCCATCTTTTTTCTTCACTAAAACCACTGGAGAAGCGAAAGGTGATGAACTATGTTGTATAATTCCCTGATCGAGCATGTCTTTAATCATTTTTTCAATAGCATCTTTTTAAGATGTTGGGTAGCGATATTGTCTCAAGCTAATGCGGTTAGTCCCTTCCTTCAAGATAATTCTGTGATCATAACCCCCCTTTTGTGGAGGCAAGGCTTTGGGTTCATCAAACAAATCAACAAACGTGACAAGAGATGTTGAATAGTAGTAGAAAGTAATTCTTTCTTAGGTGTTACCTTAATTGTATGGCATTTTGTTGTGGCTGAATAAGATACCATCTGTACTCCCCATGTATTAGTAGGAGCATTGAGTAATTTCAACATTTTATCTTCAGTAACCACGTGATTTTTAGGAATAGAAGATGCCATCAAAGTCACTGGTTGACCTTGCCAAGAAATGCCATTACCAAATTTTTGCAATCCAATTGAATTATACCCAGTTCCCGCAGCTACTGCATGCCCAATACCATATCACAACTAGCTAAAGGAAGCAACAAAACATTAATATGAAAGTCAATCCCATAAGTTTGCCAAATGAGATCACGACAACGTTCTTTTCCTACTAGACTACTGCTACCCGCCACAGTCACCTTAAGAGGTGGGGTAGACTCACAGACCACATTCAATTCGTGAGCCATATAAGAACTAAGAAAATTATGGGTGCTACCCGTATCTATTAAGACATGAACAGTAGTTCGGCCAATCTTATTAGTCACTCACATAGTAGTATAATCTGCTATACCACACATTACATTTAAAGATATGTTGGGGTTGTCTGGAGTTGCCGTGGTAGAGGAACTATCATTTTCTCCTCCAATAATTGAATCTCTAGTGGAGACACATCAACATATTCATCCACCAATTCCATTATAAAAAACTGACTCCTCTGTTTCTAAGCACACTCATGGCCTGGTGAATACTTTCCATGACAATAATAACAGAGATCTACATTCCTCTAACTCACTGGGCGTAAGTTTTTGTTAAAGAGCAAAATTTGAACGTCCTATTACACTCTTGGATTGAGCAGAGCTCGTATAAGTTCCTGATGTTGACAACACACCCTGCTTACTGTTAACCATTGTAGACTTATCCTTTGCAGGATATGTGAGTGCCTTAGATGGGGGTGGGGTAGGCAATAAACCTTTAGAAGAATTAGTAACAAATTTACCTAAGGTAAAACTTGCAGAATACTGCTGAATAGAGTGAAGGTTTAACTCTTACAGATGGGCAAGTTTTATAGCCTCCAATAATATTTGTGGTCACAAGAGCTTAACCCCAGAAGCTAATTCAAGTCGCAACCCATCGATGAAACAACTAATTTTACGTCATTCTGACAAGTCCAGCTTACAGATTAGATTATCAAACTCCCTCTGGTAGTCTTCAACCTGTCCCTGTTGCTTCAAGTGCATTAATTCTTCCATTGGGTCATCATTTAACGACCCATACCGAACATGTACAGCTTCGGCAAAGGTTACCCACGGTACTACTCCATTCAAGCTTTTTTCATAATGTTGAAACCATTTATAAGCTGCATCATCTAGAATGATACTAGCTAACATAGTTTTTTGAGATTTAGGGGTGCCATCTATTAAGAAAAAGCGCTCGCACTTTGCAAGCCAAGCATTGACGTTTGCTGATGAAAACGTAGGAAAATCCAGTTTGGTATAGCGGGTTGGAACATGGTAATCCATTTCCCGATGGTCATTACATCCTTGGTCTCGCGGAATATGGGTGTCAGCCATTTGAATTGATAAACGTCGTATCATATCCTGGAGTCCTAGCAACTGATTATGCATCTCAGGTAAGCCCTCAAGTTGGGCTTCAATCTGAGCAAAACGGTGGTCAACTTCACCCAACACTCGGTCCTCAAACTCCTTCAATGCTGTCTGAGACCTTGTACCTTCTGCCATGGACTGGACTGCTCTGATACTAGTGGTGCAATATTGAACCTGGAAATAGCAGTACAAACCAAGATGACAGAAAAATAGCAGAAAAATACAGGGCAAGAGAGAAAAAGATGAAGAAGAATAGAGAGTAGAAGAGAGAGAAGGAGGCAACAGCACTCATTCAATAGTGGACGCTCGGTACAAACTGTTCCCTAATACTCGATTCACACGTGCCCAGCGCATGCATGCAAAAGTAAAATAACCGATTGAAGGGAAACAAACGTGCCAACTTATCAAAACCAAAAATACTCGTGCGTCCTGGCAAAAACCAATATTTAAAAGCATATCATGCTAGCTACCAAAATCTTTGAAGCTATGTGACATTACTGCGGTTGTTAAAGCTATCATTGTGCCGAAGTTTTACCAGATTGTCGTTCTTGTTGAATCCATGAATGGTTACAAAGAGCAAACCGAGGGCCATTTTATATGATTTATTGTCAGAGCTTTTGAAGAAAAAGGTTGAAGAGAGGATAATTTATATAATTCGGGATAACATAATACATCAGATATTCTATGAACTAATCAAAATGAACATGTAAAACAAATTGAAGAACTTGGTCTTCGATCTTCGTGGTTCTCAGGGTACAAGTGCTTCACATTCTCCTGCCATGCCTGAACAAACATAAGCATGATGGATTAAAAGATCTCTGAATGGTTGACCGAGTCTCAAGGCATGACGAAGCATGAGCATAAATTTTGACAACTCGTCTCTTTAATAAAAATCAATTATAAAGCATTAAATTGTTAGAAAATAAGTAGTTTATGGGCTATTTTAGTGGCTAATAACTAATTGATTAATGCGTTGTGAAATAAATTGTGACTCTTGAGTATAGGACATAGATACATAGCAAATATTAATAGGGATAGTTTGAGAGAAAAAATTAAATCATAAATTCTGAAGACAATATAAATCGAGATTTTACATACCTGATATCTCTTGTAGAGGTACGAGATTTAGGGGATGGTCTGCGGAGATGCTTGGGTTGAAGCATCGTCTTGATGGTGGTATTGGGTTGAAGTCTGGAAATGCAGGCTTTGGCTGTGACCTCGCCATTGTCTGATCTTCTCATGCTCTCTTGCTTTTCCACACTTTCATCCTTTGATTCAGACAATGACAGCAAAACAAGCATCATGTTGAGCTCTCCCACAAAGTTCCCCTCTTTTTCTTTTTCTATGCCTTCATTTTCTTCTTCATTCTCTCTTCCTTTCTCTTCAACTTCAGCCATATCTGGCCATTCACTTCCTGTGTCCTGCGTCATGCACAGAGTCTATTTCACTAAATGGTAAGGTCTTCCACTAAACTTGAATTTCTACTTTCTATTAATCTTTTCACTCTCTTTCTCTCTCTCTCTCCCCCCTGTGGCTTGAGTCCCACGATAGGTATCTGAAATTTCGATGCTTGACTTTTGTGAACGTTCTGCTTCTCAAAATGTTATCCCTATAGAAGAACTTCTATCATGTTATTTTATTTCTGGATAATATTTCCAGTTATTTTAATTTTGTTTCAAAGGTTAAAGACACAGGTAACACATATCCTTTGATTTTAATCTTTACTGTCTGTGAATGTCAGTGACGACCAAGTATAGAATATATAAAATGACAATCAAAACTGTCCGAAGAATACAAAATAGCTGATTATATTGTGGGATATTAACTCAAACAGAATGAAGATTCAGGATAGAACTTGAACTTGAAAGAATGGTTAGAACCCACCTGAATTCAGGACCCAATTTGAAATTGACGTATGGGTTCATTCTTGTTTCTTCTCTATTATGAATTTTTATTACTTCAATTTTTTTTTCCTTTTTGAATTGTGAGGTTCGTAGTGTAATCTCTATTATTGTCTTCTCTATCTTTGTTTTGGCCATAGAGTTTGAAAAGAATAAACTAAAAATGCGAAAGGGTAAATGGAGGCTATAATCTGTGGGGGAGGCATATGTATGGCTGATGAATTTATAATTGAATGCATGTATGCCGAAACGTGTGAAGGAGAAAAGTACTAAGATTCTCTTGGTAAAAAAATACGTTGTTATTGAGGATGTTAATTTGAGGTTTACCATCACTTTAGGCTTACCATATTTTTCACTTTTATTTTTCTTAGCTTTTGTAACGAAGGTAATATATGCATAAAAAATATACAAACGTGCACACTTTATATATCCATGTATTTATGTATACATATATAAGGTAAGGGAAGCAGATGTGGTATTTTAAGTAAAACAAATGATAGATTAGGGGGGGAAATTAAGAAGAATATATTCTGAGATAAGGAAAATTGAGAGATTGTTGAATTACAAATTGAGAATTAAATATTAATGAAGAGCAGAGATTTTGGGAGTGTGTTCAAGAAAACCTCAGACTAGTGCTTCTAATTTTACTTATCTAATTCATTCTCCAATTGTTAACATTAGTTGAGCCAAAACCAATACAAATGCACTTTGAAACTCTTATCACCTCAACACATGCCATACAAACGATGAACAACTAACGATCATTGTGACTATCTGAAAGGCTAAGCATGAGTTAATGTATTTTAATGTGAGACAACAAATTCTTTGAAGCAGAGAATTTAACAGAAAGAGGTTATGGTTTGCCTTCTAATAAAAATGACCTCATTTCTATACTATTGAGTGAGATATAGTATAGGGAGAATCATATTTAAGAACTTTTTAAGAGAATTATTCGCAGATAAAAACTAACAACAATTCATCATTTGAAAAAAAAAGTTATTATTACCATTTTAATAACAAATGATTCTGTATTGCCACTTATTTGTGAATAATTCTCTTGGGAGTTCTTTAGATGTGATTCTTCCTATAAGACAATTTCACATTTTTTAATATTAACCTCAAGTCTTCAACATTTCATATTCTACATTAGATTACTAAAATTCACCCCCAATTTTCAAATTGCCTTTTCTTTTTCCTTTTTTTAGTTTCTTAATATAAAAACATTTACTGTTAAGTAATAATTATAAAGATATAATAAATACAATATATATTGTACAATAAAATAAAATATTTTTTCTCGTAAATACAGAAGGCAGCTCAAGTTAATAACACCGACTTTTATTTATTTATTTATTTTTTGTATCTGATAGAAAGAAATTAGATCTTTTAGACACTCAGCGCACACAACCACCAACGCACCTAACTAATGTAATGATTATGAAGTGTTTATAATAATTATGACTGTTTCATACAAGTTTTCAACGTTTTCAGGAGTTAAAGTATAATGCAAGGCAAGCCAATATATGCCTTATGCAGATCCATAGCCATGAAGTTTAGACTAATATAGCTTACAAAAGATACTGGGAGATCATATGCACCTAGTTGAATGGGTTAAATCAGAGAGTTACTACTGCTCTTTTGATTGCAATTTCTATGACACATGGCATGAAAGTACAAATTCTATTTTTTCCTTGCTTGTTTCTACCTCCCAAGTGTATAGCTACCACAGCATGACTAGGTGATACTGGAGCTTTCAAGTCAGATATAAAGTCACTCTGCTTTTGAATTGGAACTGGCTTGAGGCATTTGGCTTGCATTTCCCTAGCAGGTCTGGTGAAGAGTTCATTTCATACAATATGACAAGAAGAGAACTTTTATCTACATCATCAGAACAAAGTGCACAGAGATATATGCAAATCTAGGCTTTTGAGCTGCACCAATGGCTGATACTAGATATCGAAGGTCTTCAAAAACCGCCAGCCATATACAATGTGGAGGCTTTTCCTTCAGAGCATACTTCGATGAAAGAGAATAGAGAAGAAACGATGAGAAGGGAAAGTTTGATACATGTTTAAATCAGACCTCTCCTCAATCCGAACATACTGTCGACTAGTACTTCTTCGCAGGGAGGGTTGAAGGGTGGTGTTGGAGTGTGATGTTGAAGCTTTTTGCTCAAATACTTCTCATTTTGGGGAAGGGATTTTGTTGAATCACAGATCAAAAAAGCAGGGACAGCAAACCAAGCTAAATGCTTGGTTGAAACTGTAAGTCACACTTGTTACTTTACAGTGTTGCTCCCCGCTCCTGCAGATTGATGCTTCTTAGACTGCGCTCTGTTTAGGAGTGAGAGACTTGTTAGTAGAGCAGATATAATTGACACCCAAAAAAAAAAAAAACTATTTTAACTCTCAAATCGAATGCAATCTACTAAATCAGTGCAAATGCACGATTATCCTCAATGTCTAGGAGTTGAAATTACTGCCTCAACACCATCATATGAAATTGTGCAGCATTGCACATCTATTTGCAGAGTTTTCAACTCTAGAATTCTTAGAACTCTATTCCCTTCATCTACTTTTTTTTTTTTATCACTTACCTAACATGTATCTTCTTTAAAATTCCTTCGAGTTGAAATTACTACCTCAACACCATCACATGAAATTGTGCAGCGTTGCACATCTATTTGAAGAGTTTTCAACACTAGAATTCTTAGAACTCTATTCCCTTCATCAATTTTTTTTTTTTAATCACTTACCTAACAAGCATCTTCTTTAAAATTCTGAAGGAATTTTAGCACTATTCATCAGTCCCTTCTAAGTTCTAGATGCACTAACAAGACCTCATAGTTTGCCACAACCTCTAAATCAATGACATATTGATGGCTGAGTAAAACCTATAAGAGTTCTTCAAAGTTCTCCAAAATTTGAAATATGCTTTATCAGCATTTCATGGACTGCTTCTCTAGTTATTTGGATTGATCAATTGATAAAGACAAGGAAATTTAAAGAAATTATCTTTTTTTTTTTTGGCTAATCAGGGATGGCTACAGCAAGCAACACAACCCCTTTATTTATTCACGAGCTAAAAGTTCCTTTTAATTCATGCTTCTTACGTTCGACAAAGTAAATCATGATTCACGAATGAGTGGAGTTATGATTATCTGCATGGTGCCTGGATTTCATCTTGGAAATCTCTTGGTAGTGTGCCGTGAGAGAGAGAGCTCAGAATCTGAGACGTGACCAGAGTTTGTCCTTCTCATTCTTGGACTTGGCGTCATCAATGGATTTGTTGATTTAGTTCTCAAGCTTCGCCCAGATAAAGTCATCTGTGGAGGTCTAGCAGAAGTAGATCGTGCCTTCGGTGTACCTGCATTGGTAAACACAAACAAAACGGCAGAAAATAGGCAACGTTTATTTAGTTGTTCATCCGGACGTTATGTCTTCTGTACTTTCCCCATAAAACAAAGAGAAATACAAGGCTGCTTTTAATATCTCCAGCATTTAAATGCATTACACAATGATGCATCAAAGAATGCAAACGAAAGGTATTAGGAATCACGTCACCAATCAAGGGTTAAATTAGTGGTACTCTTTATCATTTTTTTCTTTCATTGTTTTAACTATGCATTTCTAGTTTCCCTCTAAGTCCTTGAAGTAGAATTTTCTTGAAACTTAGTGATCTAACAAAATATCATCTGTTTTTTCTCTCTTTCTTCAGCTTCCTCCCTCGATGATGGGAAATTTGGCAGACTTGCTCAAGGAATAGAAAAGTAGAGATTTTAATAAAGATTGTTTTATGTTTCAGTGGATTCTTACACAAAGTTAATAAAGGTTTCTTTTACTTTTATTTATATTGGGTTTTATTTTATTCAGGTTTAAGTCGTTTTTAGTTTTATTATTGTGTCTGGGGTTCTATAAATAGTTCTATGGTTATTTTCAGTGTGATTATTGAATTACTATTGAAAACTTTGGGTAACACACTCTCCCACTCTCTATTTCTCCCTTTGTCTCCCTTGTTCTTCCTCCCCCTTTTCTTCCCTTGTCCTACATCACTCTGCTTCTCCCATTTACTGCTCTTCTTCCTTCCTCTCTCTTTATCTCCCTGTTTCCCCCTTCTCTGATTGTCTCTTTCATCATTCTCTACACTTTCATTTGCCAAACCACCGAATGATAGTATGTTGTTTGTCCATTCACACAGTGGAAGTGTGTACATTTCAATAATTTCTCATTTGTTTCATATGTTTTACTTGATGTCAGAAGATTCTGTAAAATTAGAGCATATTTTGTCATCAGGTTAGAGTAAGGCTAATTGCACAACATTTTTCTCACAACTGGAATGTGATTAGACCACCTAAAAATGATTTTAGTTAGATCCAAGGCACTTAAGTATAGCTACTTGTTATAGTTGCGAGTTTCATTGTGTAAACAATTTTCAATCATGACAGTTGGTAGAATAAGGACTTCCTAATTGAATTCTATTTTCCATTTCAGAGACCGTTAGTTGATTTCAAACAACACTAAGAAGCTGTCAAGAATCTGACTCCATCAGAATCACTACATTTTAAGGTAAATTTATAAGGTAACATCATATTCTTAATATTTTGCTTTTCTATTAATGATACACATTGACACAGAATGCAAAAACTTAAATAGGTATAGTACTTACTGTAACTTTTTACCAGTAAGTTTTACATCCTTAGAGTGATGGGGTCTGTTACTTCTTTCGTGAAAAGATTTTGAGACAATTAATAGAAACTTTGAAAAAACAAATAGATCAAAAGCAAAAAGAGTATGTTAGTAATACTTCTCGTAATTGGTTTTGTAATATCTAAACATTAGCATCAGGGGGATAGTTCACAGCTCTAACTAACAATTTCATGGATATTATTAACAAGCATTGATAAGTGAGCCTGATTATAACCTGGTTGTCTGCTAGATCTTTCATCAAAGGATCTCCTTGATAAAAGATATCTTCTGTTCATAGCCATACCATCAGGCCCAACTACAGACTTCTTGTCAGTTCTTGATGGATATGATTCCTCCCCAGAGGTAACAAGTTCATCACCACAGGCCGAAGCCTCACTTCCTGATTCAGAATTATAATTGGAGCTTAAACTTATTTTTTCCTTTTCTATAACTCGATAGGCAAACATTTGAAAAGGAATTTGATATATTGGTGATGCACCGGAACTTCCCCAAGAAGGGAACTTTCTCAAGAGTGTCGACTCTATGTCACAGTAGTCTATTGGTGGCACTGGTGGGTCTAGTGGACTATTGTAATCAGGATTCATTGCAAGAAACCGTTTTATATACCGGAGAATTCTACAAATGGAGGAAAAGCTTGGCCTTTGATTTGGATCAGCATTCCAGCATTTCTTAGTCAAGTTAGTAACATATTTTGGACAACTGTACGTGAAAAGGGGTCTCTCTCCTGCCCTAATGTTTCTGCTCATTTTGTCCCCTTGAAGATGACTATCCTCGAAAGGGACTTTGCCAGTTAGAAGCTCAAAGCAAACCATACCAAAACTGTACACATCAGATTTCTCTGTAAGCTTGGAGTTTACAGTATCTCCCGTCTGTTCTTGCTCTTCAAGAACTTCGGGAGCATACCAGATAAATGGCAGCGTTTCATTCACATTTGAGGTCCCTTTTTGTTTCAAGTTCTTAAAACGTACTTGGCCAAACCCTGAAACCTTGGCATACAAGTAGCCTTCTGTGAACGTACCTCTGGGTTTGACAAGAATGTTTGAAGGATTTAGCTCCCCATGATATATTTTCTTTGAGTGTAGGTATTCCATTCCCCTGGCAATTTGAAGCATAAGGTCAACTGCTACAGGAAGTGCAAATGGGACTCGCTTTTTTGGGCCATAAACTCTTTTAATGTGTGTGCAGAGGTTACTGCTCATCAGTTCCATCAACAGAAAACACTCCTTCTTCTCCTCATCACAAAATCCACAAAGGCATTCAATTATATTTGGGTGTGAAAGAGATAGAAGGGATGTGATCTCTGCTTCCATTGCTTCTATGTCTCCAAAAAAATGCTTTGCAGCAAAGCTTTTACCTAGCCAAATGATCTCCTTGTACATGCTCCCATTCCCTAGTCTTCTCCTCACCTGGTAGTCTTTAGACCCCACTAAAATTGAACTCGGAAGTAGCTCCACATCCGATGACGCAGATTTTTCTAACTGTTTCAGAAGAACATCTGTCAATTGATTCTCAAACTTTGTTGACATTGCCAGTTTCTTTTCGCGGATTTTATTGAGAAGAAACCATCCATCTTCCTTCCAAACTGTGTCATAACGGTTGCAGAAGTCCTGAGTAACGAGGTACTGCTTCCCAAATTTCCATTGGAAAAGGCTCATGTCTCTGTATTCTTTCCTATACTTGTTAGAGTTGATTAGCCTCTTCCTTTCCATCTCTTCCTGATCCCACCCTGCTATTTCCCCTGCAGATTCAATCGCTTCAATGACAATGGGAATGCATGAGAGCAAATTGTGGAGGTAAAACTCAACACAGTCCTTGTTCCTGTAGAGTGCAATGGCTTTTGCTCGCCAGTCCTTTGTTTCACTTTCCAAGCATTGCTTGATGTAAGCTTCTCCTTCTTTGAATATCTTGTGAATCTCTTTTAATGGCTGTTCAAGAACTTTCCACTTTGTGTGCTTCTCCGCGAATATCAGGTTCTGTGTAATCTCCTCAGCAATCAAATCATATACAAATGTGAAGATGTCCAGCAACAAACAACACTGCCTCTGATTGAAGTCAATATTCTCTCTGAAAACCATCAAAGCCTTGAAACCTCCCAGTGCCTCCCCCACATGTCGGAATTGCTCCATAGACAGACTAAAACAGAGCCTGACAAAAAGATACACACAACACTAATTATCCAAATTCTTTTTTTTTTTTTGGGGCATATCCCAAGCTTTTTGCCTGAAACTAAAATATTGTCAAACAATCTTAAGGACATACTCCTCCCATATCAACCTAATATATTAAATATTTTACTCGCAATGTTCCAAAAGGGAATTGAGCTAAAGATGATAACAAGATATTCCCTCCCATCCAACACCGCTAAGTTCACTCCTCCCATCAGGTGCGCTTATGATTTACTGTTCCTCCCTAAATACATGAAACTCGAATTGATAAAGAGAGATGCCATTTTTTCAACAAGCTAATGCTAACCATAGAATGGAAACCTTAGAAAAAAAGAATCAAAGAAGGAGATCAAGTTTCTTCCGGCGTGCGGTAGAATCTGATGAAAAGAAAAATATCAGGGAATGTTCAAATCCATTGGGAGGAAGAAGGAAAACGAATGGTTTTTGATGCTATCGACTAAAACAAAAACAAAAAGACATGAAAGTATGGAAGCATCAGAGAAAGTTTCCGGGAAAATGAGCAGGGGTTTTCTCGTCCAGAAGAATTAGAAATCTTTAAGAAAGCGGGTACCCAAATAATTACCTGATTGTAGAAGCTGGTCGTTCGTGGTGACGATGGGGGATCCTGCATGAGCTGTTCAGCACAGATACAATTCCCGCCTGTTTCGACGGATTCCGCATGAATTGGGTCCCAAACCGCGATATTTGGTCTAATTAACAATAGTTGGCTTACAAAATGAATTAATTTTTTTGTTATAATTAAAAAATTATATTTAATAATTAAATATTTATTTATAATTAAAATCCCTAAATTTATAATAATTTGAATTAATGTTTTTAATTCATTTTTTAAAAAAATTATCAAAAATTTAATTGTTATTGATTCAATGTTTTGGAACTTAAGCGTTGTTCTTCCTAGTTTTTATTCAAGATGAAAACAACTTAAATGGTTAATCAAACAATTAATCCTTCAAATTCTGGGGAAAAAAAAAGGTAAATCCTTCAAATTTTAATAATTTGGCCGAAAAAAGAAAAGCTCAAGTCTTATTTATGATTGAACATTGTCTTCTATTTTTCCCTCCAAAATAATTGAACATTATCTGGAAAGCCCTATTTTTATATATAAAGATATCCTACAAATTTAAATTACATGTGCCGGTTAAAAAAAAGTTTTTATTTATAAAAAAATACAAGTTTGAATTAAATGGCCTAAGCAAAGGGAGCCAAGATTTTAAAAATGTGTATATTTGGGGCATTTTGGAGAAAAGACTCCTTTTTATTTAGTTCAGAAATTTTGAAGTGGAGGGGATATTGATGCCTTTTAGTTTGTTTTATTTTTCTTTTTGAACGAGCAAAATTTTTAAATAAATTTATCCTTCACCGATTAATAATGTACGGTAAATATCCATTATGAAAAACACTCCCCTTCCCCTCCAACCTTCCTCAACTAGCTCATATTGGTGCCGACTTTCATGAGTGTGAACTGGAAAACTAGATTTCTTTCTCGTTGGCACTATCGTTTCCTTTTGAGCTCAAAATACTCTGAGAATCAAACCATGGCCAAATAGAAAATCAAACTATGCAATAAAACTTCACCAGCTCGACGGCGACTCCTATGGAAATTAATCTGTTTCTGATTCATCCAACAATATCCTTTACACTTTACCCCAATTAGTTTTCACTTCAAAATCTTTAGTCAAACTTCAGCTGATAGGTTGCAAATTCTCGGCTAACATTTCATTCATGAATTTAACTTTAAAAGAGGCTTAACATGTAGTTCTTTATGTAATTACAGTGCCTCTTATTTTATTATATATTTAAGGGAGTTAAAAAAATTGTTGCTATTATACGATTTAACCATATTAGGATGGGAGTAAAATTTTATAAATTATACCATTTGATTTAAGGTGGAAAATTATCATACAATAAAAAATTTAAAAAATTAAATTAACATATAAGGATATAATAGTGAATTAATTAATATCTCTCCTTCTCTCCTAAACCAAGCAATGAATTATTAAAAATCCTTTATCTTCCCTTCTCTCTAACAAAATCAAAAAAAATATAATATTAAAATACTCTCCTCTCCTTCTTTCCCCTCTCATAAGAGGGTTTATATTAAAAGACATGTATAACTTTTAAAAATTAAAAAATTCAAGACATGGCATGGCGCAAAGTGAGTAGAGCCAAGAACAAGAGCAAGTTCTATAGGTCTTATTTAAATAAAAATTCAGACTTTAAAATTAAATTTTTTTCAAAGTAATCGGCTTGAGAATTTAGTTTTGATAAGTCGTATAAAAAAAGACTCAGGTGGCTCTTCAAGCCTAATTACATTATTATTAAATTTTTTTTAGTGGAATACAAATTTGAAATCAAAAAGGACTTGCTTGTTTGAAGCTTTAATCTTACATACATTATATTATTATTAATTTTAATTTATTTTAAAATTAATTTAATATAATTTAATAAATATCAATGTAAAATTTGTGATATTTTTTATTTTTCTATAATTATTATATTTGTGTATTTATAAAAAATAAACTATTTTTAATTTAAATTTAAATTTTATTATTAAACTTTTAAATATGTACTGTTTAATTTTTAAAAGATGATGAGGATTATAATTTTTTTAATTTTAAAATATTTTAATTAATTTATAGTACTTATTTTTATTTTAATTTTTTTAAAATAAAACTTATAAATTTGACCTTAAATCTTTTAAATAAAAGTTAGTTTTTAAAAAATGAGTAAAAAAATAAAAAATTAAGTTTAAACACTTTGCCTTTTTATAGACTAGACATATAAAGGCTGAGCTCATTCATTTACCAACTCTAAAAATAAGTATAATATAACAATTGAATGGATTGACACTTGATAATCATTGTTTGGGCAATGAATTTGACCATCTTGATGGTTATTAAATATTGGATACTCATTTATAATTATGATTTTTGGCCAAACATTTACAATTATGATTTAGGATAAACTATAAAATGACCGGACTGGAGTGATTTTCCCTAAAATTAAGTAGTCAAAATTAAACAAACAAATATAATTTTTTTTTTTAAAAGAAAACTCGAACAAACTTCTGAACGGCGCGTTTTGGTGCCAAATCTAGAATTGTTGACTCACCTTCAACTCGGCGAGTCTGTGCATCCTTCGGTGCTTCTGACGACGAGGAAGATGCGGTGGTACTTCGTCGCGACGCTTCTCACCATCCTCACAAGTTCTCAGGTGTTTTCAGAGGGAACGATTTTCTTTCTTTCTTTCTTTGTATCAACTCCTTGTAGAGTATTTTCACTAATTAACTTTTTAAACCGACAATTTTCCTCACTGCCTTTACTGTTTTAAATTCCTGACATTCATATCCTTATCTATGATTTAGCTGCACCGAATCTCGTATCGAACTGTATTTTGATTATAAAATGAGTTCACTGTGGTCTATTCAATCCTGCAAGAAAAAATGACGGGACAAAAAATATTAATTCTGAGTTTTTGCTGGCCTTTAAAATCCCAAAATTCGCCTAGAATTGTCTTGATTTTGGTTATCTCTCGTTAAATTCACTGAGATTTTATCTTGATTATGGTCATTTCTTGTGGCAGGGAATATTAACAACACTGTCACAGAGCAATGGAGGGTATAAGTATGACTACGCAACTGTCCCGTTTCTCGCAGAGGTTTTTAAGGTGAAATCACCGTTAAGACCGTTATCAAATCTATTTGGTAACCTTACTGGGGTACTTTATCTCTGACATTTGCTTTTGCTAACGTGAAGCTTGCAGTATCAAGTTTGCTACTGGGGAAGGAATTCCACAAGTCACCTATGCCGAAAATGACTATGGAGCGGAAGAGTGTGGCTTTATACGTTGTCCCTTCTATTATATATTTAATTCACAACAATGTTCAATTTGCTACCCTTACTTATGTGGATACATCAACGTATCAGATAATGGGCAATCTAAAGATTGTTACTACTGGGATACTATTCAGGTGCTTCTCCCTCAGCATACTGCAGTCTAAAGATAGTGTCAGTATTGGGTGTGTTTTGTTTCCTCCAAAGTTGTTTATATCACAGACTTTTTTCAGGTTGCTCTTAGGAAGGAGGCTCTCGAACCTGCAGTGGATGGCAATTGTGTTACTGGCTGTTGGAACAACCACAAGTCAGGTGCCAAAAGAAAATAGTTCTTTAAAAAGTCATCGTCTAATTGTATAAGCTGATATCTTTGTTTGATGCATTATTTTCTATAAGAGCATATTATAAACTGAAAGTTCAGGACTAAATGCTAGAAATTAAGAAGGCATCTCATTCTATATTGTTTTATTTAAAAAAAAAAAATTTACGAACCCGTTTATCTCTATAAACAAAGCTTTGACATTCTTTTGCTCTCTCTTTCTCTCTCACGCTTGTTCACACAGACGCACTTGCTCTTTTGAATATTAGGTTTAAAATTTTGGTCCCATTATGGAGTATTCTTAACATGGGAGCTCTACTGTTTTTTGTTGACGTAGGTCAGGGGCTGTGGAGAGGCTTCATGTGACTCCTTTTTATCAGCACCAATTCAAGGATACATGTTAGGATTTCTATCTGCTTGTCTCTCTGCATTGGCTGGTGTTTATACCGAATTCTTGATGAAGAAAAACAATGACAGCTTATACTGGCAGAATGTACAGTTGTACACGTAGGTATTCTTCCTTGCATTTTTCACTTCAAATGTTTACATACTCACACATGCAAGTGCTTTTATCAGTCTTCTAATCTTTCAAACTTTTGACTTTTTTTTTTTTTTTTAAATTTTTATCTCCTCCTAGTGGGATAAAGGCTTGTTGTTGTTGTAATTTTTATCTCCTCCATTTTGTCTCTCTTCAGTCTTCACCCACAAGTATAACTTTGTTTTCAGATTTTCCACTTCAATAGCAATAAATTATTACATTTTAAAATGGGAAAAAATTTAAAAAGTATTGGGGGCTTTAAGACAATGTTTGGCATGCAGAGAAGTGTTTTCTAGAAATGAAATGGGAAAGTGCATTATCTTTTATACTTTCCCATTTCCTTTATAGAATTTTCCGTGCACCAACCATTGTCTAACTTTTGTGTTTCTGTAGAAATCTTAATTTATATGCTTGTTATGGTTAGTTACTTGGGTTATTACTTTGTAGATTATGCTTATATTTGATTCCTAGAATTATGTTGCACACCTTATATGGACAATGGGATTGGAGCCATGATGTGGGATGCAGCTATAAATCAAAGGTGATCATTGAAAATGAACAACCTTTTGGTGAAGCAGGGTGAAGGTTTAAATTTACCAAATTAGAGGTGGAACAGATCTTCGGGTTTGTTTTAGTTTTAAATTTTAAAGAGTTGGGTGAGATTTCTAATGGCATAGGTTTTCTACGCCCATCAGGATAAAATGGCAGTTAACATGGGTTTTGTTAATAATCACTTAGGATTTCCTTTAAAACATGATAATACTATTTTTATTTAATTTAAATTACCAATTAGATGCTGACCAGAGTTTCTTTCTCCAGGTTTGGTGCAATTTTTAATATGGCTAGGCTTCTTTTGGATGATTTCAGAGGTGGGTTTGAAAATGGACCGTGGTGGCAACGTATTTTCAATGGGTACACTATTACTACCTGGATGGTAGTATTGAACCTAGGGTCTACTGGTCTTTTGGTTTCATGGTTAATGAAATATGCTGATAATATTGTAAAGGTACCTCCTTTGGCTCTCTTAAGTCTACCCCCATTTTTTGTTGGGTTAAAGTCCATTTTTGCCATTAAAGTATTTATAGAGGAGTACCTAGTGGCCTAAAGTCCATGTTGTAGCAATATTGCCCTTTAAGTAATTAAAATGGAGCAATTTTGCCCTTGACATTAGATCTTCATAAACCTCTGTTAGTCATATTAGTGGGACCCACTTTCTGAAACACTTGGCAATGACTTGGCTTGATAAATGCTGATGTGGTCAATAAGATATCTCAGCATCATGAAGCTTGAGATGCTGCATCAAAGCACCAGTGCACTAGGGAGCACCTTTTCTGGTTAAATTCTTGACAAGTTTATCATATCCAAGCCCTCCTCCCTGTCAGACAGCCAATAACAGAAACTTAATCTATCATCATTGGAAGTTTCATAGGGATTCAGCGGTGGTGGAAGATGACTGTCCTATTGGTACTGAAATTTCTTTGACATACTTAAATTAAACCCATCTAATTAAGAAGGTGCAAGCCATCGTGGCTATAGCCTAAGAGAGAATAGCTCTTCAAAATCTTCAAACCAAGAGCAACCTTAGCATTAGCGACTTGGCACCTCCTTTTCATTGGAAAGTTTTCAGTCCCTACCCATGAAACTCAGATCCATCAACATCTTCCGGGTTTGCTTAAGAACTTGCTGATTTTGATGAACTTGGGGCTCCCTTCAAGATTTCAGCCTCGAATTAGCAAGAATCATCGAGTTTCAGAACATCCTCTACTTCCATTAATGGTGGCTACTGGGAAAATCAGAAATTGATTGTTTTCATGCTTTTTGATGGCAATGGGGTGTAAGTTTTCGATTACTTGTGGATTTTCTTTGGGATGTTCATGACTGGTTTTTCAATCTTTTTTCTAGGTTTAAGAAGTCTTGATCTGTTGGAATTTTTTGGATTTATGGTTTTGTAATTGTTGCTTCTAGTGTACATAAATATAATAGATTTGTGAATTTGGATTTGTCTAAAGGCAATGGTGCCTATAGAAGAGGAGGTTTGGTCTAAAGGGATGGGGATCGAAGTTGGGAATTGATGGAAACTTGCTACATTCATATGCAGAGGAGAGAGGAATATGGAAGAAAGAGAATATGCAGAGGGGAGAGGAAGATGGAAGAAAGAGATAAGGGATTGAATTAGATACATTTGGCATGACATGCTGGCAAAAATTAGTCAAATGATAGTCAACATTATTCAAGTTAACCCAGGGACAAAATTGCTATGTTTTAATTACTTGAAGGGCAATATTGCTACGGCAAGGACTTTAATTCACTGGATGCTCCTCCCCAAATGCTTTAAGGGCAAAAATGGACTTTAACCAACCTTTTTTTTGTACCCAGTTGGTGTACTGTGTACATGATTCATTTACTTATCTGGATTTTTCATCTTTCGCAAGTAGTTTTATTTCTTTGCAAGAAAATAAGTAATTGTAATGTGACACAAATTGAGTATTGAGTTCTCTTATTTTATTTTTACTCCCTTAATTGTTAGTTGATTGCTTTCTTAAGGTTTATTCCACATCTATGGCGATGCTTCTGACAATGATACTATCAATATTCCTCTTCAATTTCAAGCCTACATTGCAGGTAAATTTTCATGCGCCTTTTCTTTGTTTAGGAGTGTTTAATGCTCTCTCCTCTTGGCCGTGCTTTTAGCTCAGATCAAATTTCTACAGAACAATTGGAGTTTTGTGTAGCAGAATGAGCAAACCTATTTTGCTGTTGCTCTAGTTTTGAGCTTGTCGATCTTGAAAGTTAAGGGAAAAATTTAAGCAAGGACAATGTGGCAGTTTCCTTACGCTTAAAGACCAGACAACAATAAAATTGGTTATCCACTTCAGATTTTAAAATGAATAATTAAACTGTGGTTATTTGGTCATCAAATGTAAAGACTTGATTCTGGATCTCTATTTATAATTCTCCACAATTTTGTGGAATGCTTGTCTCAAATACTCTTATTGAAAAGTTAATTTTATTCTCATTATCATTGATGTGCAAATATCTTTGTAAATGCTCTTGTTTTCTACTTCTTCCCTTAGGCTCCAGTGGCATTTGAATATCATGCTATCACTGGATAGTGATTTACTTTTTCTTTCTCTTTGCAGCTTTTCTTGGGCATTATTATTTGTATGATGTCTTTGCACATGTATTTTGCCCCACCAAATATGCTCGTAGATATGCCACTAGCAGTAAAGTCAGATGAAGAAGAGAATCTTATTGAAGTAACTGTTGAACAAAGATCACATTCATGATGTCAAGTCTCCGTTGACGATCAAGATACGTTGCAATTCTGTTGGTAAGCCAACATTTGCATGAATTCAAAGGGTTTTTTTTTTTTTTTTGTTAAAAAAAAATTCGTTCCTTGTTCCTTGATACGTCCAGATCTTTTTGTTTCTATTTACCAGATGACAGGTCGCATTGCTTGTTCAAGGAGACAATTTCGAAGCACCATCTCATCTGATTCTTTTCCTAGTTTCTTAATTGTTGATCTTGATAACGAATTTTGTAGGAAGCCTTGTGTAATATGGACAAATAGCTTTGGCAACCGTCCACACACGTCGTAATATTTCCTGTTGGCTTGGCAGGGATTTTCATAATCAATTCTTACCAAGGTTCTCCGAAGAGGCCTGGTTAAATTCAATCACTAGTATTTTGTAGCATTGTTCCACTGTATGCAACCATTCAATGATGTCCTGGTGCTTGGGCATCATCGGTGGAATAAATTGAACTTCTATACGGTTAATTTGGACGCCCAATCTATAGCTTCTGCTTCATCATTTGGGCACAGATTGTGGTGTAGATGGAAATGGAATCTTACTATGGCATGTGAATTCAAGCCTCCATGTATGATCTATATTTCTCTCTGACTGTTTCTTGTGCCCAACTCCCAGTAATTATGCACCTATGTTTTCTCTTGCTGGGAATTAGTATATTATGATTTTTATGCAAAGGCTTTCTATTGGCAGCTACACAATTGATTTTCTACACAAAGCCTTTGCTGGTAAAGTGGTATGCTGAAAAATTCAGGGTCGTCATTTTTGTTTATACAAAAAATTCTGGGTCATCATAGATATGTGACGAAGTTAAAAGCAATCGAATGCAAGATCTTAAAATTATTAGGGAGAATGGCAGTGAGGGCTTTGAGAAGAGGTGGGGTAAAAAGTAATGAGGGTCTTGAACAACCAAAAGTTTATCCATGAATAACTGTTGTTTAGGGGTTTTTATTATTTTTTGTCCTCTGGGAGCCCTCATTGCTATTCCCCTAAGTTTTTATATGAAATTTTTCCTAAAGTTTTTTGTTGTATGTTTACTATGAAATCAATTTCATGTAATTAAACTAATTTCTATAATCACTAAAAAAATTATCAATTATCACTTTTATAATTGCATGCTCAGTTCCCTCGTTGTGTTATGGAAGGCATTGTTTGGAACATAATAGAACGCGATGCATGGGAATAAACAAAACATATACATAAATACGTATACATACATACATATATATATATATAATATTGTGATGAAATCTTACAAAATACGAAAAGAAGTCAATCTCCACAAACGATATGAGTAGAAATTAGTAAAATATGTTAGTGGACAAAAAAAAAAGAATTATTTTAAAGTTTCATGTAACACAATTAATTACTTCCTGATTTATTGACAATTAAATTTAGAAGAATGATAATATAAAAAAATGCATTGTCATTCTTTTAAACTCAATTGTTAATAAATTTAAAAATAATTAATTGTGTTGAATAGAATTTAAACGCAATTAAAAAAAAAGTGTCGAAAACCATCCCATGATGTTTGTACCCAAAAAAAAAAAAAGTTGCCTAAAAAAGGCACACTGTAATGCTACCGGAGATGACACTTCCCACCTGTTCTCATTAATTTTCCCTCTCATTCTCACCCTCAGTATCTCTCCCACTCTCACTGTCGCTACCATCTGTGAGTCATTCCTATTCTTTTTAAAAAAAAATTTTAAAGGCACTCGCCGCCACGACTGAGCGAATTCGCTTGAATTCTCCTGCCGGATCTGAACCCTACTTTCCCGTGAAACAAACATAAACTTCACGAGAAAAAAAAAAAAAATATATGCCGAGAGAAATCATCACGCTTCAGGTCGGACAATGTGGGAACCAGATCGGCATGGAGTTCTGGAAGCAGCTCTGCCTCGAGCACGGCATCAGCAAAGAAGGCATCCTCGAAGACTTCGCCACTCAGGTCCTTTTCTAGCCTTTCCTTTATGCCTTCTTGTGCTTGCTGTGTTGATGCATACTGGTTAAAGATACGTGGATGATTCAGTGCTCGGCACAGTTGATCTGAATGAAAATTAATATCACTATTTGGGCTATGAAGGTTTCTCATTGCTGACACTTTTTTACTTTGCTGGAGGACATTTGATGGAAGAGAAAGAAATGGATTTTACGGTAACTTAAAGAAAGTTCAATAGATATCTTGGGAATCAGGGTAGTCACGAAATTCTTGTTGTTTGTTGTAAGATTATAATTCGTCATTCTTCATAATTGAATGAAATTATGGCACAAGTCGCTGAATCTATGCTACAACCACTCTTCAAGCCCAATAGACTTTCGTGTGAAGAGTGCATCAAAACATTTCAGTTGAAGTGGATTTTGTCTTATCAATGGATACAATATCATAGTAAACTTGTAAAGCTATGAACAATATAGCCTTAGGAGGTAGGTCATGACATGTGGCTCATACCTTCCAGAAAGTTGGAATTTCAGTTCTGTATAAAGTTTTTTCTCATGGAGTTGAGAGATTAGATTAGGAAATCTGTCTAACTTTAAGTTGTTGCCAGTTCCAGCCACAGCATAAACTAGTCCTTTAGAATTGGAATCAGACAAGCTCTTGCTTGTTGACTCCAATAAATGATGATAAATGTTTCTTACTTATTACTTTTATGCTTGAAAAGTTGCCTCCTTTTCCCCCCAGTTTTTGTTCCCCTATCACAAGGTTCATTTTATTTGTCCAACTTTGGGGAACACTTGTGGACTTTAGTCAAGTTTGTTATTTCTGAAGTGGCCTTTTGTTGTTATTATTCTGACCGAGCCACTGAGTCTGAGCCGGTGCTAAAGTTGAGGGAGTGAACATGAAAAGTGGGGAAGGGGGGATGATAAGATGTTGCTAGAATGAGGTCCAGGAGGGGTTTGCAAATGACATGGGGAAATGAGTAGAAAAGTGAGGATGGTAAAATGGAAATAGAGGGTGATCCAAGTTCTATCCGACCAACTAAAAGATTCTTACTTACAGTACTTATAAAGGATTTTCAGTAAACAATCTGATAGTTGTGTTCATTTTAGCTGTAGAGGGTATTGGCAAAAGATGCTGAGATTGGTGCATAACTGAAAGCAACAAGAATGCATTATTATCTGATTATGAAGGTTAAATCTATATTCTTATTTTCGTCAAAATGCTGCAGGGAGGTGATCGGAAAGATGTGTTTTTCTATCAAGCTGATGATCAGCACTACATACCTCGAGCTCTGTTGATAGACTTGGAGCCAAGAGTTATCAATGGCATTCAGAACAGTGACTACCGAAATCTCTACAATCATGAAAACATTTTTGTATCAGATCATGGAGGAGGTGCAGGAAACAATTGGGCCAGTGGATATCATCAGGTTCATCATTAGATTGTCCCAACAAAATTAAATTTGCTGCAATAAAATCTACTTCTATCTCCAAAGTTTCCAGTAATTTGTTTGTATGATGCTCACCTTACTCATGTTATGACATGACTTGGAGAACTTTTTAACGCTTTTGTGTGTTGAGTTTCTACTGATTAGGTGTTTGGCACATCCATATAGAAAAAAAAATGTAAAATAGTTGCATATTTCTTCTATGGCATTTGGAATTTCTAGATATCTTACAGCAACTAATCAAATCAGAATATATATTTTGGTTCTATTACTGGAGCAGTTGCCCTGGACTGATTGATGACTATTTTAAATTTAATACTAACTCACCCAGTTTTGCAATGCCCTTATTCATAGTTTACAAACAAGTTGACAATTCATATTCCTGGAAGGTCACTCTAAGGAAGATGTTATTTACAATTTTAAAACTTGAGGAAGATCTTTCCCTATTTAGTAGTTATGAAAGGCCTCTATTTCATTTCATGAATGCAAAATTGTTTGTGTGGCTAATGTGTTTGTTACTTTCTGGCCAGGGAGAGAATGTTCAAGAAGACATAATGGACATGATTGACAGGGAGGCAGATGGCAGTGACAGTCTTGAGGGTTTTGTTCTGTGTCATTCAATTGCTGGAGGAACTGGTTCAGGTTTAGTTCTTCTCTGGCATCGTTACTTTTATTTTCATTTCTACATCTTCCCCTCGTTTTCTGAATGAGGAGTTTTGCATTTGGTGCATTCTAAGAAGTACAATATTGCTGAAAGATTCTTTTAATTTGCACCTAGATTTAGAGCTGGTAATGTAGGTTCAACCGGCCAACTCACAAAAAAGTGTTGGGTTGGAGAAAACAGGTTCATTTAGATGCAGGGTGGGTTTGGCTTGCACCACATAACTTGAACCTTTTGCAGGTTAGCCTGCTTATTTCTTAAAAAAAAAAGAAATAGACAGAAAATAATATATACTTTTACACTTGGTATAAATTTTAAAACTTAAATATTAATGTTGCTATTTTCTAGATCATTTTTTATTCACCTACTACATGGTTCTTAATTGTCATGCATCTGAATTATGTTTTCCGTCTATGAGTACTATTGTTTTCTGTCTCGAATTAATGTTCAGACTTGTTAATTACTAAAGCATTAGTTTGGCCCTTTTACCAAAAAATAAAAAGCATTAGTTGGCCCTAAAAAACATTCAAGGCAACAGGTGTCATGTGTTAAGTGCCGAGATTTGGTGGTGTATCCAGTGTAATAACTCTCCGGCCTCTCATCCAAGTGAAATTATGATGACGATGCCTAGAATTTGAAATGGCATGAAATTAAAGAGATGGACATTTTCTAGTACTACTAAATTTTTTTAATTTTTTTATACATAGGAAATGTTTAATTTGTACTGTTACGTGGTCAAAAGTATCATTTTTTTTATTGTGCAGTTGTATAATGCAGAGAATGAATATGCACAATAAATAGAAACAATTTCTTAATGCAATATGATTCGGTATAGTTTAAAAAAAAAATAATATTAAGAGTTGAATTTAAAATTTTTAAAATTAAAAAATTATAAAAAAAATGTTTTATTGGCGGGTTAGCTTGCCAACCCACAGTTTGCAGATATACAACCCTTCAGGGATGTGGGTTATAGCAACCCGCCCTGCTAAACCCGCAACCGGCAGGCTGACCCATATTATCAACTCTACCTAGATTATATCTGCGGCCTACTAACCAAAATTGAGTTGTTCTAACATTCTACATTGCGGACTTGCCCTGATGGCTTAGCACCTCTAACAAAAGTTTAAAGTGCTCTCTGTACATAGTTGATTTGGATCTCTACCTAGCATTGAATAAGATATGGAGAGGTTGGAAATTTGGGAATTTCTCAACTATTTCTTGCTTGCTTGGAAGAGAGAATACTGACACGGACATCAGAAACAATACTAACTTGGATGTGGCAGCATGACAAAATCTGAAGTGTCCATGTGAAATTTAAAACGTTGCGTTTTTTCAAATATCAGTGCCCACATGTTGGATGCATACACAACTCCTTTGTTTAAGTGCCCACGTCTCATAACCTCCTTGGATTCCGTTTGTTAGAAATAATATTGTTTATGCTCCTGGTACTTTTATTTATTCTGATAAAACCATACAGGTATGGGTTCCTATTTGTTGGAGACTCTAAATGATCGCTACAGCAAGAAGCTGGTTCAGACATACAGTGTGTTTCCCAACCAAATGGAGACAAGTGATGTTGTGGTCCAACCATACAATTCACTCTTGACACTTAAGCGGCTCACACTTAATGCAGATTGTGTTGTTGTTCTTGATAACACTGCACTGAATAGAATTGCTGTAGAGCGCCTTCATCTGTCAAACCCAACTTTTACTCAAACAAATTCTTTAGTTTCTACTGTGATGTCTGCTAGTACAACCACTCTTCGGTATCCAGGATACATGAATAATGACTTGGTTGGTCTTCTTGCCTCTTTGATTCCAACACCAAGATGCCATTTTCTGATGACAGGATATACACCTTTGACAGTGGAACGCCAGGTGAGATCAATATGTTTTGTTTGCATTTGATATAATGTTTTAGAGCACGATTTTTGGAGCATTAAATGTTTCATTTGAGACTAATTGTTTTGTTGCATTATTGTCAAAAACAATGAGCTGGAATGAGTCTATATTGAAATTACTAATCAATCTCTTTTTCTATGTCTTCTGCTGCTTCTCTTTTTCTCTTCTGTAATTTTATCGGTCATTGTTTATACGTATATGTGTGGTGCTGCAAGCCTACTAAATACTGATTCCTCATATTATTCTTCTGAAGAAGTATTTGAAATCTTTGATGATATCCTGGCAGGCTAATGTAATTCGTAAGACCACAGTGCTTGATGTTATGAGAAGACTTCTGCAGGTATTATGACTGCTTAAACATTTAAACTTCCATTTGAATGGCTTTTTACTCTGCTTATATCAATGATCCTGGCAGGCAAAGAATATTATGGTCTCTTCATATGCTCGTACGAAAGATGCTAGCCAAGCAAAATATATATCAATTCTCAATATCATTCAAGGAGAGGTCGATCCAACTCAGGTAATGTTAATTTTGCCTCTTTTGTTTTTGTTTGAAACCTGTGTTCTAAAAACCGCAGCAACTCATGTCACCTGCCTGCCATTTTTTATATAAACTGAAAAATAGATGTTATAAGCCACTAAATTGAATTCCTGATCTGGATTCTTATGTAATCTTTGATGTTGTAATTCAATTGATTAACATCATGTCAAATTTTTAATGAGGATTTCTTGTCTTTTCATAGATAATTAACCCTTTCAAATTTATGCTTTGTGTAGCTTAGTTCTCCGGGTACAATGCTTTTTTCTTTTGTATTATTAAATTCTACGGTCTTCTATGAATAGTTTTTTTTTTTTTTTGGGTAGTTTTAATGACATCACTTTGCACTCTGCAGCTCTCTATGAAATGTTTGATTCATTTTTATCATGTTTCTGGTTAGCAAAATTTTGATTTGTGCCATATCATGTTTTCCTTTGGATTCAGGTTCACGAAAGTTTGCAGAGGATACGTGAAAGAAAGCTTGTTAACTTTATTGAGTGGGGTCCTGCAAGTATTCAGGTCTCACTTCTGTGGCAGAGCAACTGAAAGTAGTAGCAATTACATAATCTTGTCTCCTTTAAATGGGTATTCATGGCATAAATTGATCTTGTTTCCTCCTTTCCCATTTTGTACTTGTGGCAGGTTGCCCTTTCTAGAAAATCACCCTATGTTCAAACTGCACACAGGGTAAAACTATTGTCCTTCCAGCATTCTTCCTTTTTGTCAGTTTCATGTTTTTTATTGCTGGTGTCATGTTCGATGCTGGTTCATGCTTCTCTTAGAAATGACCATTATTCCTGAGGAAGATAGTCAACAAATTGAGAATAAATATAACTGTATGACCTGTTCTGTATCTGGTAGGTTAGCGGGCTTATGCTGGCAAGCCATACAAGCATCCGGCACCTTTTTAGCAAGTGTTTGAGCCAATATGAGAAGTTGAGAAAGAAACAAGCATTTCTTGACAACTACAGAAAGTTCCCTATCTTTGCTGTAAGTGGGCCAACTACATGACAACAACCTGATATTCTTATCAACAAATGTTGAAAACTTCCTCGATATCGTCTGATGTTATTTTCACCAAAAATAAAAATGGGCAGGATAATGACCTGTCAGAATTTGATGAATCAAGGGACGTAATTGAGAGTTTGGTTGATGAATATAAGGCCTGTGAATCCCCGGATTATATCAAATGGGGAATGGAGGTAGGTGCTATTTTCATTCAACCTGTTCATTCTAGTCATCTGGCATGCTTTTAATTTGTTTCCCCCACAACTTATATAGGACCCAAACAATATGCTAACCGGAGAAGGCAATGCTTCAGGAGCACTAGATCCAAATCAGTAGCGTAAGATGCCAGGCAAGCTATAATGCAACAGGCTATAATTTTTTTTTTTCCAAATTACCTGGCTTTCATTTCTCTCTCTTACTAGCAGAAAGAATTGAGTGTTAAAAGACCAGGGAATTTTAGCTGTAATTGCTTGCTGAATTTTGGTTTGCTTGGTTTCGAGTGTGCGAGTGTTTTTGTGTTCTTTGTTGGCCTGTGAACCAAGCATTGAAGTTAGGGCGTTGGAATTATACTAGCCACTCCGTGCAACTGTTTTATTTCATTTATTAATTTCCGCATCCTCCCGGATCAAATCAAAGCCTAAATTATCTTTTGGAATGCTAAGTGATCGGTTTGAACCATTTATTGCAGGCATAAGGAATCAAATGAAGAGAATTATGTCGAGATTTGGAAGGTGTTTTTTCGAGCTTTTGTATCAGATGGTTTGCTGCGTGATACCCATGGTTTGTACGATTAACCATTTGGACATCCGCACAACCAAGACTGAGGACACAATCTCACTGTATTTACCCTTCAAGAGTGCTGAGGTTTGATTGATTGCTAGAATGTAGAGAATTAGGGAATCCAATTTAATCATTTGGATTATTCTACTTCTGCTTCCGAGTGAATATTAGGTTGTTCGAATTCAGTATAAGAATATATTAACTTCTTTTCCCATGTGGAGTGGTGTAATACATCGTCTGGTGTATATTTTAACTTGTACAACTCCCATTAATTGGCATTTGTTTCCACATGCAATAGGCAATTGCTTCACCATAATCGGTTGTGTTATGGGCCCAGTGTATGATTAGAATTTAGGAAATACTCTCTCTCAGATATGAGAATTAGTTTATTAACTCACATAAATTAACAAAGTTTAGTTAATTATTTATTAAAAAATGCACATCGTTTTCCTAAAATACCCTCTTTTAATCATATGCAAAATTTAACTTTACAATATAAGAATCTAATTATAAGGGTAGTTTAAAAAGATGATAATAAGTAAGGGAGGTAAAGTAGGTTTACGACTTGCATTTAGGGTCTAAATAAAATTTTCAATTAGTTCTTACATTTAGGATTGAAGGAAGTAATTCTTTTGAGATTGACTGAGCTGGATTTGTTTATATATGGTAGTTTTAAAGTTGTCGTTTTGTTTAATATAGAAATAGTGCTTTAATTCTGTCAAAGGTGGACAATCTATCGGAAGAGATAAGAGAGAAGCGAGAAAACTATGGGGTATTTGTTTATATATGGTAGTTTTAAAGTTGTCGTTTTGTTTAATATAGAAATAGTGCTTTAATTCTGTCAAAGGTGGACAATCTATCGGAAGAGATAAGAGAGAAGCGAGAAAACTATGGGGTTTGTTCTGCGAGCGAGGTTTCTAGAAAGCATGAATCAGGACAGTTCATAATCAGGTCTTGAACTGAATTACAGTTTATCGCCACAATAAAGAAGGGAAGGAATCAATGGGGTACCGTAAACAGGGGGGATAATATGAGTTGAGCCACCTCCTGCCTTTATCAACTGCTACATCTAATTAGCTGAGATAGTTATAAATTCATAAAAAATAAATTACAAAATTTAATTTGAATGAAATATTTTCAAGTAGGCTACATGGATTCAAATTCTATCATTGTGCTTTCGTTTGCAGTATTGTCTTTAAGTGGTATGTGAATTATTTTTAAAGTTATTTAAAATGATCTATATATCAACATTCAAATCCTCTTCAACAGTTTTTAAATTGAGTTAGTAGGTTGTTAAATTGTTGACAAATCTTAATTTTATTTTTTCTTGTATTATCTTGGTTATTATGTCTTACTTCAATAAACTCAAAATTTCTCAGCTAGCAAAAAAGAAAAAAAGGTTAACTTGCTAACAATTTAATTTTACTTTCTAAACTTCTACATGTTAATTATATTTTCATATTTAATTATGTAATGCTAATAATTAATAATAAATAAAGCTTTTAACATTACGAAAAATTTATAATTTTTAAAATTAAAAAATGCATATAAAAATATTTTTTTAACTCACCAACTCACTGTGGGTTGGTATATTGATGGAAATACAACTCGCACAAAATGCGGGTTATATCAAACCCGCCCTGTCAAGCTGATAACCCGCTGTGGGACTCTTAGGTCACAAGTTGATTTATATTACCAGTTATATTACCAACTCTAATTATAAAACTGGTTGTCACTCACTCACACTGCATTACTGCAAAGATAAAAGGAAACATGTTATTAAATATTGTTTTAGAATTCTAAAAGGGCAAATAAATTCACATGGGAAAAGAAATTAATATTACACCACTCCACAGTAGCCATGAGGTGTAATACATCCTTTTCGAATTCAGTGGCCAAATAATATTCACAGGAACGGACTGGCTTATCTACCTTATCATTCGAAACTATTCTCGTACATTTCGTTATCCGTCCTGGGGTATATCTTGGCCCAAAAAAGAAAAGAAAGTCGTGGGGTATATCGAACACAAAAGTGATAAGATTGAGGCTCCGCCACTCATTAAGTTTCAGGGAGAGAATCAATGGAGAAGGAAGAATTGAAGGTTTGTGTTACTGGGGGTTCTGGTTACATCGCGGCTTCCCTCATCAAAAAGCTTCTTCTCCAGGGTTACACTGTCCATGCCACTCTCAGAAACTTGAGTATATATATGCATATATCTTTGTGTTCTCTTTCATCTAAATTACAAAGTTGGTTATTAAGTTACTCTCCGCATGGCATGACTGGGTAATTACATACATGTGTGTGCAGAAGACGAATCCAAAGTAGGGTTTCTGAGAAGGCTGCCACATGCAGAGGCGAGGCTTGTGTTGTTCGAAGCAGATGTTTATGAGCCCCTCGCATTTCAGGCTCCCATTCATGGCTGTCACTTCGTCTTCCACGTCGCCACCGCCTTCCAACACCACCAACCCTCTCAGGTTTCTCTTTCTTTTTCATATTCCTGTTCTTAATATATCAGTATTAATCAACAAATTGAAATTATGAACAAGGCCTAAAATAGCCTTAAAATTAAAATGATGGAAGTATAGGATACATTGGTGATGTGAAAATTTCATGTACCATGTATATTTATTATATTGATGCTTTTTAATGACTTTGAAATGGAAACAATCAAGTGTGTAGCAATATTAAACGCTAGACATCTGTCTCCAAAAAGCAAAGTTAACAAAGAATGAATGAAATGAGACTTGATGTATGGAAGCAGTACAAGAGCCTGACGGAAGCAACAGTAGAAGCAGCGAAAGAGATAGCGAAGTGTTGTATCAAAGCGAAAACCGTGAGGAGACTGATATACACATCCTCAGTACTTGCTGCATCTCCACTCGGAGATGATGGTGCCACCTCTCTGAAGGATTTCAAAGACGAATCTTGCTGGACCCCTCTTCATCATCTCCCAAACTTCCCATACATCAATGACTATCTCAAGGTATAGATGTGTACTTGTGTGTTCCAATATCCATTAATTCATATATGCTCGTTGTCTCGTCTTGCGCATGTCATGCATATTATCCCTTTACGCAGAACTACGTAGAATCAAAGACTGAGAGTGAGAGAGAGATTCTGAGGTACAACGAGAGGAAGGAAGATGGTGGATTGTTGGAGGTGGTGAGTCTGGCTTGCGGGCTGGTGGGAGGGGATTCAGTTCTGAATGCTTCAGTGTCTGGGAGTGCGATGGTGATTATTAGTCAGCTTAAGGACTCGGAAATGGAGTTTCATTCGATGAGGTTCATAGAGGAACTTCTGGGGAAGATCCCAATCGTGCACGTCCAAGATGTGTGCGATGCTCATATCTTTTGCTTACAGAAGCCCTCTTTCACTGGCAGATTCTTGGTTGCTTCCTCCTACGTTTCTTCTGCTGATATTGGCAATTACTATCTTCAGACCTATCCCGAGCTCCACGTCAAGCACAAGTGAGTTAATTTGATTCATCATTTAATTTGGGATTATATTAATTTCTTCTAAAAAAGAATAAAAGCAAGAGAATGTGGTAAAACTCAACTTTTATGATAAGTGCCTCATGTGGCACAATAACGGGTACTATTTGATCAAACGATTGTTAAAAATTTTATTAATATAATATTTAAAAGGTATCGAATCAACTTTTAGAGAGATTGTTCACGAGGGATATTTTGACCATGTGTATTGTTTTAAATTTTAAAAGGAAAATATATCTTAATAATTTTTAAATATTAATAAAATTTAATAGCTATAATTTAGACACTGCAATGATTAGTTGGAGGGGAGGGAGGAGGAGAGGGGAGGGACTGGGAGTGGTTTATATATTCATTGAGATGAGATTTAAACTATTTAAATTTTAATTTAAATGGTCCACATTAATATATTATTATATATTATATTTATTAATTTAGCGGATCTAATTTAATATTAAAATTTTTATAATTAATATATATAGATTATCTAGATTTATTTTGAACAATTCAGAATTATGCAGAGTGTATTTGAATAATTAATATATATCAATTATAAAAGTTTTAATATTAAATTAACCTCTAAATTAAATATAAACCAGATTAAAAATAAAAATTTATTAAAATTATTTCATAATTTTTATAAATTTTTATTTTTATAAATATAATATATAATAATATTTTAAAATTAAATCATTTAAATTTTTAATATGAATAATCTAGATTTCATCTCAAGAATGGGCTGGGAAACTCAATCCTTAAAGCCCTTAAGGCACTCACAGTGAACGCACGATGTGATTGACCGATTTCAGATATTTGGAAGGGCCGAGAAGGGATATCAAGTGGGGCTCCACAAAGCTCACGGACGAAGGGTTTGCCTGCAAGTATGACACCAAGGCCATCTTAGACGATTGTGTGAGGTGTGCCAGAAGGGTCGGCGATCTCTAGGGAAAAAAAGACTTGTGTGCCAAATATCATGACAAAAAACTTTAATGATTGTGAAGAACTGCTGTGCTTTATATGCGATGGACCATTGGAAGTGTGTTGAAATGTCACAAAGTGAAAAAATTCCATATACTTAATGTCTTATCAAGGCTATATAAGTTAAGATGCAACGTGGAACCCACTCATTACAGCCCACATACAGAAAGTGCAATGCCTTTGGATTCCCTCGAGACTGCTGTTGGTGCAGTTTGTGGGGAAGGTTCCTGTGGTGCGCATTCATGGTGTGTGCTGTAAGAGAATCCCACCATTAATAACGGCAGATTCTGCTGTGCTAGTTCCTCAAATTTAATCATCTCATCAGTTCAACACACATTGCTAGCTCCCCATCATTTTCTGCTCTCCACTGTTCATCCTCCACTCATGCCAACTAATTACTTCGCTACTTATATAAACCTGGAGATTTAGGGTAAGAAGCAGTGGGTTAATTCTAATGCCATTTCAAACTTTTTATTCAATACTTAGGTAATTTAATCAACCACTTTCCACTTAACTGCTATACAATATCTTAAATTATTTGGGATTTTTAGTGATAAAATTGACTCTATTTAGTTTAATGTAAGACGGTGAAAAGTATCATAGATGTTGAGAGAATAGATGGGCTGGATAACACTAGAAAAATATATTATTCGACACTGCAAACGAAAAAGTTGGGCGACATAGACACCATCTGCATATATATAGCCCAGAGATAAAAGAGACCTTCAACAAAAACCAAGTAAAAAACGAAAGAAATAAAGAAAACAGAACCAAAGAAAATTAAAAGGCCTCAAATGCAATCGGCCCAAGAATACAAAAGCCCAAAATCTAATATAAAGACAACAATACACAAGCAGCCCA